CAAGCAGTTATAATTGACCTAGAACCTTGAAAAAAAGCTATGAATTTAGGAAAAAATTGTTTAATTATATTGACTAGGTATTAAAAATAATTAACCTACTCCCTTATCAGTTGGATGATGCGATGGCGTCATGATGTCGGCGTCCAGTTGATTATTCCAATGATTCACAGAGATAACATTATCTTATAATATCGTAAAATCATATTTAAATTTTTAAACAAAATAGGAAGTCTGCAAAAAAAGAATGTCAGATATCATGATTGATTAAAGTACTTAAACCGCAAAACGCCAGATAATATTTAGAAAAATAAATATGAAAAACATTAACAATAAATCCAGATTAGCAATTGTTTTAAATAAAAATTAACTACATAATGCAGTTGGAATTTGCCAAGAATGTGTGAAATACCACGTAAACGCTTTTTTTTATCTACATTTATAGAAATGATATCTTTATAAAAGTCCTGATCGAGGCACACTTATCAGGCATAATTTATAGCATTCTATTGCATTCAACAATTTAATATCGTTTGCAATAAATATGTAAAGTAATTTATTTTATCATGCTTATAATTTCTTATCTGTATCAGTCATATCTGAAATCCCTTCTATATAAAAAGCTAGGAAAGAATAATCCTCCTTCAACAAAAATTTTAAGTAAAATAAGAATATATACGTAATAATTGAAATGATAAATAATTTCTAAATCAATAGCAACGTAAGTAATTTTGTTTGTTAGATGTAACGAAGGTCGTTCCCATCTCCTGACCTTCAAGCTTCGTTGCGGACGCAACAACACATTGATTTGTATAATTTCATTCTATTGTAAACCATTCGTATGAAAGATCTTCTAAATATAGTGTAGTTCTAGAATTAAATTAATGGTTTTTAGTAAAACGTAAACAACATCGTAGACTACTGGCTAATTATTTTATAGATGCATAACAATTCATTTTAACGAGAACATGGCCACATTTGAACATGAGATGATATCATTTACACAAAAATAAAACCATTCTATCCCTTTACATTGGTGCCAATTGAATTAAAGGAACGTTTTGTGTCTTGTGTGTGCAAATGTAAAGTGATATATATATAAAGTTTAGATGGAAGGATGTTTGTTAAATTGTATCTCCAGAACGGCTCAACGAATCTCGGTGAAATTTGGCATATATGTAGAACATAGTCTGGAAGAATATAAGATGAAGGCAACAGCTAATCAGATATACGCATTTCAACTGAAAGTGTGGGCATTGCTAATACTATCCGTTTTATCATGAAAACGATTGAAACATTTAAATCAAGGTCTCATACAAATGAAGTGGGTGCTTTCCTAGGTACATCTATTAATTATCTTACAACGTAATCCTTAAAGTATTCCACAAGCACTAGACAAGATACTTATCTTGATATGTTTATAAACTGCAACGTCACGTGTGCGTCAAATTGAATCATAATTGAGTGAAATAGACGAAATATTATGACACAGAAGCATGCATATGTTCACAAGTTTTGAATAAAATAGTCTAACGACGTACGACTAGTTAGGGGCCTTCATGAAAAGTGCCATACACTTCTCTAAAAGGTCGGCCATCCATTTTTACTGCCCTTTCTCCTATGAGAAGACTAAACAGAGTCCTATAATTGTTAGTTAACTATAATTCGATTAAAAAGTTATACTTTAATGAAAAATGTGCATCACATCGCGCATGAATCATCCATGCCACTGCGCTTGCAAACGTGACGTAAATAAAATATGCAACTGATACGTAATCACGAGTAAATCAATATTCTAGTTATTTATAGACACAGCTTCTGTTTCAATGCTCTGTGGTAGATCAGTTACAGCGGCAGATGACACGTGCTCGCGGTTTTATAAAACATCTTTGTAATAAAAACCTCTTTGATTCGGTTTCATTAAGAAATAACATTATATTAACACAGTTTGAAATGAAATTTAAATACTTTTCTGACGGCTGCCTAAAAGCGAAAATGGAAATAGAAATGCTCCCCGTCTTCAAAAGTCGAATCTGATATTTACAATCAGATTTTCTCAAAATAACTTTTATAGTATTGTGCTTAAGATCCTTTAGTTCAACAAAGTAGCTCGATGTTTATTCTTATCAAAACATTCTAAAACTGTGTTATGAGTCTGTATCTTGAAGGTAAACTGTTATCAATGTAATAAAAGTAAAGAGGATCGATAAAATTGTGTAAGTGGAGGCGTATTCGCGTCGTACTGGATGTGCTAACTGGTACGAACCAGTTTACAGCCAGACAATCGCCTCCGCGCCGACAAACGCACCAACCAAATTGTAAATAATTACTGCACAGCGTCTACACGAGACGACAGAACGATTTATTAGATACAATTTCAAATGATTCTCATGATATCGCTCTGCTTTGACATATTTTTCTTTTAATTTAAAAACTTTTTTAACAATAACGCAAAGTGATTCGATCGAATTGCAATATTTATTTATGACCAAAATGTAAAATTAATGTCAAAAATATTAATAGCCAAAAACGTTAACCTAAATTCGACAGATAGCACCACTAGAAGAACAAATTAAACATTGCCAGTTGTAAAAATAATCCTTCAAGTATTATGAAAACTTGAAACTCACGAGTTCCATATGTGATGTGAAACTTTATCGTTTTAATGTTATTTTCCACGATATAAACCTTCGATATCCATTGTATAATTTAGCATATATTTTCAAAATATTCCTACAACGACGTCCTAGTATGTGTAACGATAAACAATAGAAATATGAAGCCTTTAAAGAATCAATTTACCACCTCAAACCAGTAGACATCTTGATGAAACTGACTTGTTCTTTAAACGAGGCATTTACGTCACTATACGTATACTGTGTTTTTCATTTGTCTAATGACATAACTAATATTAATTTGCAGTGTCAATTGGACAGAAGCGCGCCTTGCTTTGTGACGTCTTTTGAATAACTTCTGAGACGTCATACATTAGATATATTAGGTAAATTATTCACTATTGGTATTGAATCTACGCATTTGTTTACTATGTAAATATTTTATGTGCACTATGGAGTTTGCAGTTTAAATCAAGTTTGATTTAGAAGAAAAAGATTTTAAACAGATTTATTGTAAGATATGTGATAAAAATTGTGTAATTGTTCTTTCAACGTAACTTTAAATTGCTAATACTAGTAGATAGTTCACGAAAATAGAAGAGCATATTCGGACATTCGACTATTGACTTTGGAAGTCTTCTAAACCTTTACATTAGAGAAATACTCCAAATGCTTATACTATTTCATTCCAAATGAAATTATATGTATTGTAGTTAAAGTTGTTCGTATACAAAAGAATCGTCTAAAAAACTTTAAAAGGAGTGCTTTTAACAAGATCAGTTTAATCGTCTTACACAACTCGAATATGAATTTAAAAAAACATTACATGAAAAATATTCCGTTCGATACAGAGTGCATTTACCTCGCGAATGTCCTGTATAGTAAACAGTAAGTCACAAGATCTGATAACTTAATTAACACAAGTAATTTAAGTGTTGATTTAACGCCATTATATAAATGAATAAGGTGACCAGTTAACGTGGTAACTACAAATAGGTATTACGTGAAAATTGCTATTATCATAAAACATGACGCTAAATATTTTTTTGGCCAAAAATTATAACCACTAGAATTTAAGCTACGACTAGCCTAGCGACAAGCCTTACTAACAACGTTTTCGACAATGAAGCTACCATCATAAGCTTAGGCCTAATCCAGTAGTTGATTGTATATTTATCTCCACCTAAAACAGTTCGTTTGTAATGGAAATTGTAAATTCACATGGTTGGATGGAATATTCCTAAATATGATAAAGATTGTCAACCAAGAAAAAATAAGCGCTTGTTCTTTTTATGATGCGGATACATCGGAAATTTCCGACATTATTCATGAATAAATTCAGGCCAAACCGCTTCAGGTCAGAGATAAGGAGTTAATAATTCAACGTAAATCGATCGCCATAGCCTTTATCATTTTGTTTATCACAATTTAACAATAATCTTTTATCTTTCACCTCGTCCGTTTATTACGCAGCATGACTTCCTAGTACTTAGGTTTATTAAAACCTTTTTATCAATTTCTTTGAACGTGTTTAATCCCAAAACCGTGTTTGCATCTACTAGAATCAAAGCTACTCAGATAAACGAAAGCTTTAATAAAATCTGGCACTGACATAGGTCAAGGCCACAACTAACGTAGTTTTGTAAATTTTTCCTTTCTCGTCTCTTTATAAAATGCTAAAATTCTAACTTATAATATTTTAAATTATTGTTTGCGTGGTATTTTGTGTATTTACTTGTCTACACTCAAAGGCATGGTGTTATATTTCTAAAAAAACCTCACGCAGATTCCAAGTCTTTCCGCGAATACATGTCTAAAGTTCCATTCCATTTCTATAGTATTACATAAGCAATTTGTAAATATGTGTCTTTAGGAATAAAGATAACCTCAAAAAAATATTGATAATAATGTTTTGGTCACGAGTATGATGTCGTTACGTGTCAAAAGTATCTGATTGTGATATTACAATAGGGTGACCTAACGTCTACTACTAAAATGTTTTACTGACGGCAAAAAAAAAATTTTTCTTCATTGAAACAATTATTTTAATAGATAACACAAGAAATTTTAGAACAATTTATCCGGCAGCTTGCAGTCATTTATAATGTCTTTGAAAAGATACTTTCTGCAACAATGCTTTTGAATTCAAAACGCAAGATCCCTTTAGCTGCGCCGGAATTCCCGAGCCGGGTTCAATGTCGAACATTCTGGAACCGTCCCCCTCTTTACCACCCTTTTAGCGGCAACGCAAAATATTCTTACAGCGTAATAACAAGCAAGGATTGAATGCTTTCTATTTCAATTTAATTAAAAAAATAGATACTGTAATACATAAAATCATTTAACGTTAATGAATATGAAAGTAAAAGGTAAAATAAAACATGAGAAAATACTGAATAAGCTTTATATTTAGAAAAAATTTCAGATCAGACAACGCAGTTTATATCATGCAATTAAAAATCGGACGTAAACATATATGTATTCACTGTTCTAAAAGTGCTTTATTAAATTAGGACAGTTCATATTATTGTGAAAACGATACATTAAGACAAAATGGCAGTTCATAAATTTAAACTTATTCCTCGCTAATCCCCGCAAAAAGCATACTTTTATCATTTAAATCAGAGGCAAACTATTTTAAAAATATATTTTCGCAGCGGATTTCTTTTTCTAAAAGTATGAAAATGCTAATCATTAAGTAGTTGTCACTTCTTTCAATTCCATTCAAATATGTTTCACATTTACAATACAGTTACACCTGCATTATTTTTAATACGACAGTCTCCAGTTTAACTGTTTTCTATCGCTAATACAATTTAATAAAGCTGGTCCATTTACACAGTCATTTTAACATCACATAAAATCATGCAAAATAATAACAAAAAGTACTTTATTAGCTTAAATAGACTAAAGATTTACATCACTAGTCGATAATTTAGGATAATTTATCACTTGCTCATTCGCGATGACTACGACACGTTTATCTTATTAATACAAACAGTAAAATTTATTTATATATAGTACATTGGTATTAAGAACTTGTAGAAATTTATTTAATGTGCTGACAATTTTAATAAATTCAATACCGCTAAACAAAATTTTAGAGACTATTTTATATTTGATTATAATAATTTAATACTTTTTTATTTAACTCGACAAATTGTAGATTTAAGAAAGAAATGAAACAGTCGGAACTAAATATAAGTCAATGACAATTATTTTAACTTCTCGCGTACTTTGAACTATTCTATATTCGCCTCCAAATAAATAACACTATTGCTTATTAATAACAAATCACAGATATCAATCGCGAACTGCCAAACTCAACTACTAAAATACAACATATACGAAGTAACAACCGGGTTATAGTATACAATGTCATGTTTAGATGGAAAACACCCGGTGCATGCCCTTAAACTAAATACAGTCTTGAAACATACAATTACTGCCTCCAACGACCAGATAATACCATCGAATACTGATGAGTGCTATTACAATACGGCATTACAGAATAAACATTCATGCAACAGTTAGGGGAAGCGGACCTGAATATGACGGCTACAAACTATTGCATTGGGCGGTCTTTAAACACAAATATGATCGATTAGACTGGATTTCTGAAACATTAGGCGGTTAAAGTTAGCACATTCATAGGTTCTACTCAACTCTGCATCGGCACTATCCCGTACGTATCACAGATAGTGTGTCGGCGCTTGTGTTGCGGCGGGCGCGCCATGACCACAGCGTGGTCACAGGTAGGGCACGCAGGCGGCGCAGCGCGAGCGCGAGCGCTCGGGGGACTCCGCGCGCGCCCTGCACACAAGCACGCCTCGTTAGCTCATGAGCGGCGTTCCTCGCGCCGGGACTCAGAGCGACCGAGAGCCCTTCTTAGTTTCTCCACCAACCTGCTGTGGAACTTTTCCGTATCGCGCGAAGCGCTGGGCGGGCTAGCCGAGCCCTTGGGGCTGTCTTGCGCTCGCAAGGAGACCCGCGAGTGCGGCGCGCGGCAGTAGGACAGGGAGCGCATGGCGGGTGCGCTGCGGTGCGGGCTGAGCGCAGAGCCTATACGCGGCGACAGTGCCGGCCCCTCCGACCGTGACTCCGACACCTTTCGCACGCGGCCCCCCACGCCGGCAACCACCTTCTCCGCTGATTCCGAGGTGCGGCGAGAGCGCTGTGTGTGATAAATATCCCAATCGTTCTTCACTACTGGCATCATAAACGCCATCTCGGCGACGGTAACGGTTCCTCTTGTGCTTTAACGTTTTTGGAGAAGTACCGAGAGCGGCGCGATGAGAAATCCCGAGAATAGGTAGCTCTGCAATCGATACTAGTCACTACGTATATTCGATCACACTTTATAGTTCTTTTAAGATTTTATATGTTCAAAGTTTATAATAAACGAGATAACTTTGATAACATATGAAATTAGTTAGGAAAAAAACGCCGGCTTTCACTTCAATGTCACGCGCACTGACTGCAAGGAGTTGTTAACCCTAGGACGTTTATCCGAAGAATGAAGATTTCATGAAAACACTCTGAATATATGGAAAATATTGGCGCTGACGTCGCTACGGAATCTAGAGATAACTCAAATGCAAGAAATTATCGAAAATTGTTTTTTTAATTAGAAATTTTGGATTGTAAGTTAGAAAAAATACACAAAATGAAATACGAATTAATATTTAGTTATTTTATACTTATGAAATGTAATATTTTGAAAAAAATGGTAATATTTCTATTGTTCAATAGATGGCTGTCCAGCTTGTGCCACTCGATACTAGATGTCGTTCAGGGGAATTAATAACACTGACATCTATCGTTCATATGTTTAAAAAGTTTCAAAGACGAAATTCTATTTGGAAATAATGAAACAGGCCCTAATATTTATAAGTTAATGAATAGGCAGAATTATACTGAATGATGACTCAAGAATCTTTAAGAATATAGTAAAGTGTGCGGAAGAACTGACTTTTCAGTCCCTCAAATTGGACTAATATACGGATATTTCTTTTCAAATTTTTTGGCGACCTAGGGCCATAGCTTAATATCTCAACGACTTCGGGCCATAGAAAAAAAAGTCATTAAATGTTAATATTGTAATTAGTCTTTTGTTAAAATATTAAAACAATGAAAAAGGATTGGCGTATACAATTTTATATATTTACATAAGCGAATAAAATTGACACTATTTTACGAACTAGTTTTACTTTATTAAAAACAAGATGATTTGAAAACATGATAACGTTCAAAAATTGTCTAAGACCATGGTTAACAATAAAAAGGTGGGTTTTTTTTAAGATATGTCTTTTTCATATCACATAAAAATCTAGATGAAACTACTTATTTAGACTAAAAATATTAAATGCACTAACTAATATCTGAGTAATACTTGTTTTTTTTTAATGCAGCAAACATTTTTAGTAACATTAAAATATCAATAGTTAATAATTAATTAAGTTCATAATATAAAATGACGTACACTTTTTAAACAATACAGATTTTGTTCCTCAAAAATATTATTTAAAAAAGGTTTCCTTCAAACGATTACTAAACAATCGTCCTGAGGGCTCGGGCATAACCAAACATTTTGATCAAAGAAATTTAATAACCAAACGTTACCTAAATATTTTAGATCCATTTCTTTTTTTAATAATAAATTTAAGATTTCTACCTATTATATATAAAGAAGAACTAATACAGATCAAGCTATACTGGCTGTCGCCTGCGACTCCGTCCGCGCGGAATCTTGATACAAAACGGTCAAGCTGTGTGGGTGGCGTATGTTAACTAACATTTTGACATGGGAATTTAATATATAAGAATATGTCACATTTTTGTTCAAAAGCTCATTTCCTTCGAAATCGTTAAATTTTTACGTTTTTTAAATTTATTACAATATCTTAGAATTGCATTATTAGAGTATTAGATATCTCTAAATGAGGGGCTGTCGCCTGCGACTTAGTCCGCACGGAATTGAAAAAAAATATGTTGCCTATGTGTTCTTTCAGACTGTGTTCTATATGTATGAGTTCTGGAGATATCTTCAAACAAACATCCATCCATCCATACATCTAAACATTCGCATTTAAAATATTAGTATGAAGTATGATTATGTTACAATTAGTGTATATATTTAATTAGTAGTTGCATTTGTATTATCTTCCTTAGTTTTATCCGGATCGTAGTATCCATTCAAATTGACCATAGTTAGTAGTTCCACTAAATGACGTTGATATCCACATTCCATTAATTTTGTGACCACTTTATGAAGATATTTGGCCAACTTTTCAAACAAATGGTATAGTTCTTCTAATTGAATGAAATTTGTATGTGTGAAGGATCCATTGAATTCTTTCTGTTGCCATTCCCTGTAATAAAAAATATTTGTAAAAGAAAAAAAAAAATTGCAGTTTTATTTTGAATTGATACATGATTTGGTAATTATTATAGATGGCGTTGTTAATATTATAATACAAGAAATTACTATAAAAAGATTTTACTTGAAATTTAGTTTTTAATGACTTTAATTTGTGAAGAGTATTGATTTAATGTTTTGAAATAGGAGTAATTTAGGAAATCAAGTTGAAAATTTAAAAACCAACCGTTAGAAAAATAAAAAAAATCGTTTTTTTAAATAAATTAATTTATAATTCATACATACCCAGCTTTTAGTACTCGACTGAACTTCAGAATAACAGTAAATATATCATTCAACAGTTTCATTACTGGAGTCGATCTGTTATTTAGAAGACATCTAAATAAGACTTTCTTTATATAAACAACGTGACATTCGTAAAGATCGTCCAAAGTCCTTGCTTTTTTCAAATCACTTTCAAATTCAGTCCACGAAGTGAGAATGCATGTTGTGACAATATAATTGTCTAGAGCTCTTATAAGTGATGCCATAACATGGCGGTATATCTGTATAGATATATATTGAGGTGATCTTAACAATTTTCTAGAATGTTCCCTTGATAATTTCGCAGATAATTTAAGAGACTGTAATAAAAAAAATATTATTTTTATTCTATAAATTCTGGTTATTTTATAAAATATTGCATAAAAGTCGTAATAGTTATATGAAGCAAAATTATTCAAAAATTTAAACTAGAATTTACTTTTGGAAAGTTTTTTACGTCAATAGATGGCGCCCTTTCAAAAATATTTTGAATCTTCTAAAATGCAAATACACTATAAACTAACATGAGTGCTCAAAATGTCTACATTACCACATCTCAAATTATAAAATATATTTTTAAATATTACCTCGAAATCTTCACTCAAAACCCAAAAGACCCGTCTCATTTTGACTAAAAACTGAAATACTTTAGCGTATCGTAGCAATGCTTCTTGAGACAGTATGATATTGAGCGGCCAACTGACCGAATATGTAAGAGAGAGACATTGCAATACATCTGGTGAGCTGTGCTGGAAACTGAGCGGCGATTCCGCTATTGTGAATGATAGATTCTCTGAGAATTTATGCACATCTGTAAAAAAATGATGAACTAATATAAAAAAAAAACAAATTTAAAAATTGAGTGATTAATCTTCTTTAGACGGTCTGGAAAAGAATACGAACGTTAAGATGGATGGATTGATGTTTGTTGGAAGGTATCTCCAGAACGGCTAAACGGATATCGATGAAATTTGGCATACATATAAAACATAGACTGGAATAACACAAAATTCCGCGCGGACGGAGTCGCGGGCGACTGCTAGTATTGTATAATCTTTAAAATACTTACGTGATATAGACGATCCTAAAGCCTTATCTAGTATATTATGCAGTGTTGCAAAATTCAATAACTCTTGAGGGTTTAATGTTTTCGTCAATTTCGTAAAGAGGTTGTGACAAATACTTCTAGAAAATTCACCGTCCATCAAAAAGAAATAGTCCTTCAGACTTCTTAAATGTTCATACATATCCAAATTAACAAGAAAATGAGTTAAAATAGAATTATTTACAACCTCCAATTGATATGTTAATGGCAACATTACAGATCTTTGCAGACATGCTGTCAGTGTTGCTATATTATTGGTAGATATTTTAGATTCCGTTTCCTCGCCTGATATAAAATTCGATACAAATATATTATGAAAAGGTTTTTTCTTCACTTCCTCCATAATAATAGCGGGATCTGTGTAAAATGATTGTTTAACATCGTTGTTCATTTCATTTGAAAAATAATTTTTGGAATAATTTTGTAAATTTTTCACTCCGAAAGGATCGAATGAATCAAAGTTGTAAGATCCATCTATGAAATTGTAAAATGAGTATTTATTTTTTATATTTATAACTGAATTTTCTAGAACTTTCGATGGGGAAATATCCGATGTGTCTTCTACGGCAACATCTGTCGTGTCCTCTGATACTGCTGTATCTTCATCAACTATTATTGAGAAATCAAATCCTTCCGAAGTCAAATACTCTTTATCAGATTTATTTTTGGCTGAATCTATGTCTTTTCCATCACTTCTAGGTGTAAAAATATCACTAGTCAAGCCACTGTCTAATGGCACATCTCCTGTTGTTGGTGTTTCTAGATCGAGCTGAAAATTAAAAAAAAATACATCTTAAAAAAAATTGTAACACCGACCTTTTTAACGATGTAAGGGATAATTATAAATAATATTCTTTACTAGCTGTGCCCGCGACTTCGTCCGCCGTCCGCGTGAAATACTTGGACATTTTAACATAACTTTATTCTTCTAAAATAAAACATTTTTTCCAAAATAAACGTAGCCTAAGTTACTCTTTATTACACCAGCTGTCTATCAATAAAAGTCCCATCAAAATCGGACCAGCCATTTCAGAGATTAGTCGGAACAAACAAACAGACAATGTAAAAAATGTTATTTTGGTGAATATACTGAATATATATTTGTATACATGTAATGAAAAAAGTGTACTTCAATATTACAGACACTCCAATTTTATTTATATGTATAGATTTATAAATGTTTAAATAGTCGGACTTACCTGTGGAAAAAAATCCCCTGGTGTGATTGTTCCTGTAGTGGTAGCTAAATGTTCTGAACTTTCAACAAATGGCTTCAAATTTAACGTCAATTTTGATTTTCTACAACTTTCTTGATTGCTTATTTTTATTAATCGTGTATTATATTCTGATGCTAATATTTTATTTCTATTCTGTACCGCTTCCTCTTGAGCTACATTAGCTGGTTCTTTTTTATGTATATTTTCTAAAGGCATATTATATTCCACACCTAAAACTTTACGTTTATTTATCAAAGCTTCTTTCTGTGCATCGGTTCTCGGCTCTATATGTTCTTTGATTTTTTCATTAATACCAAATTCCGTTCCTAATACTTTCAATTTATTCCTTTTAGCTTCAGAAAATGCTGACAAATCATTATTTTCTTCATCAACAGATGTTAATTGAATAATAGGTAAATTCATTTCATTATTCTCGTCATCAGTCTGACAGAATTCATGACACATAACTTTTTGTTTATTTTTCAAAGCTTCCTCTCTCATATTTTTAAATGTTTTATTATCTATGA